CCACCACCACCTCCACCTCCACCTCCACCTCCACCTCCACTACCTCCACACCTCTACCACCTCTTCTACCACCTCCACCTATACCACCGCCACCAGCACGGTGCTCACCAGAAGGGAACGTACATTAAAAGATGAAGTTGTCCCTCTATATATACTGTGGGGTGCCATCAAGGTGGTTCAGATCCACAGTGCCCCCAGGCACAACAGAACAGAACAGGGCCCGGTCCTGCGCCACCTCACCATGGTTCCCATGCCCGAGTCTGTCGCTGTAGCCATTGTGTCCATCTCTCTCGTCAGGGACCGTCTTCTCTTCCGCTGCCCCTTCGCTTTACCAAGCCCGATGTCCTTCTCCAGGGACCGGGCTCCTCACAACACATCCAGAGTACCTGGGTCAAGGTCCACCATCTTTGCCTCTAGTTCTTGTGACGGTCATGGTACTTTGAACTTTCTTCACCAGCCACATCCTCCCACGCAATGATTCTTCTCCGCCTTCCTTACTCGATGCATGGAGACCATGGAGCATACCACGCCCCGGTCCAGCCTGCACTCAGCCCTGGTACCACCTTTTCAGCCTGGCAGTGTCACGGTTGCCAGTTGGGCCGCTCACCATGAAATCGGCAGTTCCAAACCACCGGCTACCGCGTGGAAGAAAGACGAGGCTTTCTGCTCCCTACAGAGTTACAGTCTCAGAGCCTCCCAGGGCAGTTCCGCCTCATCCTGTAGTGTCAGGCAACGCGGTGGCTGTGAGCTTGGTGTTTGGTTTTAGCACAATCATCTGGAATCCTTGGGTGGCCAGTTGGAAGCTGATCGCAGGGTCCTGTGGAAGACAGGTCTGAGAGCTCCTTCTGAAAGATGTTGGAGCCCAGGTCTGTCCCGAACCTGGTCACACTCCGTTCCCTGGCAGGCACGCCAGCTGTGAGCCCCATAGCCAGTGTGCATCCATGTCACGTTTCTCTGGCTTGGCGGCTCGGCCCGTGAGCCCCACACTGATGGCGAATCGCAGGTCTGGGGCGGCAGGCGCCCGGAAGTACCGGTTTGCAGCCACGCAGCTGCTTAATGACCAGCCAGGTGCTGAATCTCTTCTCCCTCTAAGCCAAACCATTGGGTGTGAGGAGGTATCTGAGTTGCTAATTTTAATGTAAAAAATGTGTTTCTCTCTCCCCCGCCCCCAGCTTCCACACTGGTTCTTGAAGCTGCAAAGCAAGAGGCTGAGCCATCTCAGGTACGAACTCTAATGGCCTGTCCCTCATTTCCTATTTTCTGTGTCGGGAATTACAGTAGTTTCATCCTCGAATTGTTACTAGAAGTTTTTCTTCCCCCCATGAATTAAAGACATGTTGGTCAACATAGAGTTTGAATGCTCTGAGTCACACCGACTCCACAGTGAGGGGACCCACGGGGGGCGCTGTGAGTCACACTGACTCCAGGATGGTGAGGGGACCCACGGGGGGCGCCGTGAGTCAGCACTGAACGCAATGGCAGTGAGTGAGCTTTGAGGCTTATTAATAATAATTGTGTTCTATACAATGTAGGCCTAGGGGCTCAGCACCCCACTGAGGCAGACGCCTCTCTCAGGGAGAAGTTGAGGCCATCTGCTCCCGTGCAGAAGCCATGCACAGAACCGCTGTGAGTTGAAACGGACTGAATGTCTGTCAGTGGGTTTGAGGCTGTAAAAGGACTAATCACCTCAGGGGGCACGCACACTTTAGAATCATGAACCGCTTTCGATCCGAAGGGCAGGATAGACCAGGATGACGTCCCGTAGGGTCCAGAGAGGAGCAGGAGCAGAGACCGGAATCACAGGGAGGCCGTGAGAGGAGGGACGGTCGTTGTGGGGACGGCCGTGGATGTGTGGAACAGTGTGTGCATCCACCGGTGATGGGCTCTGTGACCCTCCAAGCTGTCAGAGCCCCCCATACAGCGATAAAAAGAAATGACAGCTGTAAATGCATGGAAATTATAACTGACATTGGAAGAAGACGTTAAAACAGAGAAAGGGGGACAAAAGGCACATCTCAGAGGAGCCTCTGAACCTTGCTCTTCAAAAAACGACAAGCTGTGTCGGCTGGTGACTTGGATGTGCCTTTTGCTGACCGAGAAGACATCATTGTCCCTCTGAGGGGCGGTCCAGTTGGCCTGGAAACCCAGCCAGGCAGCACATGGTGCTTTGTAAGGACACTGAGACCCAGGGGCCTGCAGAGACCGTGCACGCAGCCAGAGTCTGTCTTCTCACCAGGGCAGGCGGAGGCGGAGCTGGACGTGTTCTGTGGGGCCGATCATGTGCTCTAATGTTGCTCAGCCCACGGGGCAATGACCGAAGACCATTTTTGCTGTCACTTCCCGTTCACCTGCCCCGGCCGTCCCCGGAGCGTCTTACTTGTACGGTTTACACATTGAGCCGTTGGTCGTGGCTCACCGGCTCCTTGCTGTCGTGTCTGCTGATCTGAGCAGGCGCTGCCTGCAGAATGGCTCCTACTGAGATGCGGCCTTGGGGGCTCCTCTTTGATGCCACAAGGACACCAGGTCAGAAGTTGGGGTGGTGGCCCAGTGTGTCGAAGCGGCTCAGCCTGCACCCCACCACCTTCCGATGTCTTTGCCCTTCCGCCTACTTGCTCTTTTCCCCCCAGCGTTTTGTGGTGAGTTGGGTGAAGGCTGGTGGTACACATCACCAGCTTCATGTTCAACGATTCAGACATATCCGTTTGTTGCCAGATTAAAGAGAACCTTTCCTCTTACTCAAGGCGAGATAGACGAGAACTTGTGTTGTACACCCTACTCTGAAAAAAAAAACACGAGTGGTTTTTTTGAGGAAGACAAACACCACAGTTGACGTTCCCGTTCAACAACTTCTGCACAAAATTGTTCAGTGACGTTGATGGGGGTTCTTTACAATGGCTGCACATTCTTGAGATTGTCATTCTGAAGGTCTGTTCCCTTGCAGGTAGTATCCTGCCCGCTTGCCTTCCCGTGGTAGGTTCAAAGTCCTGGCAGACCTTTGAGCCGTGTACAGGTGCTGTTCGTTGTTTCGTTGAGGCCGTTAGTTATTTAGCTGCACAGGTCAGTTTGGGTTCCAGGTCTGAAGAGTGTTTCTGGGCAGTTGTCTCGGGGACTTCTCCATGCTCCACCAGTCTGCTAAGTTTGTTTCTGTTTTTGATTCCTTAAAGGAATTGGAAGTTCTGTTCCACATTTTTCTCTCATTCTAGCAAGCTAAGCCCTGATCAGAACCGTCCGTCATGGTGGCTGGGGACCATCTAGTTCTTCTGGTCTCAGGAGAGAGGAGGCCATCATCGTAGTGCACCTGGACCACGCAAGGGCCTTTGGCTGCGCGGATCATAACAGATCACGGATCACGTGGCAAACAATGGGAATCCAGAGCACCCCGCTGTGCCGATGTGGAGCCTGCACATCGAACAGAGTGCCCTCACATCGGCGAAGGGGTGTGTGACAGGCTTGCATCCTTTTACCATCCTTATTCAATCTGGACGCTGCCGAGCAAATCATCCCAGAAGCCAGGCTGCATGCAGAAGAAGGCAGCATCAGGATCGGGGCGAGGCTGACCGACAGCCCGTGGTAGGCAGGTGGCACAGGTGGCTTGGGGCAAGTTAAGGGACTCAAGGATGAAGATCAAAGACTGCAGCCTTTCCATGTGGACTCCACTTGAGCAGCGAAGGAAACAAAGGTCCGCGCAACTGGACGGGTCAGCGACAAGACGACGAATGAAGAAAATGTGGACATTTTCGAAGGTTTTACACGGACCCACACTCAGTACATGTGCCAATGGTCGTCAGGCAATCAGTGGCCTGACTGCACTGGGGCATCTGCAGCACAAGAGTTCTTCAAAATGTCAAGGAGCAAAGATGTCACTGGGAGGTACGCCTGAGCCAGATGTTGGGGTTTTCAGTGTCCGCGTGCACAGGCTAAGCCGGTCAATGAATCAGGAAGGCCAAAGAAGAGCTGATGCTTTTGAGCTACAGTGTTGGTGGAGTGTTGCATATGCCTTAGAATATACCTAGAAGAATAAACACCTGTCTTGGAAGAGGTACAAGCAGAATGCTTCTTAGAAGCAAGGAGGGAGAGGCTTCTTTTCACCTGCTCTGGCCGTGCTACCTGGAGGGGCTAGTCTCCAGAGAAGGACATCATGCTTGGTCCGGTAGAAACACCCTAACCAGACTCCCTGCCGTCTAGTTGATGCTGACTCACACTGACGCTGTAGGACCACGGAGAACCGTACCTGGCGGCTTCCGAGGCCATCACTCTTTAGGGGAGCAGGAAGCCTCATCGTTCTCCTGCGAAGTGGCTGGTGGTTTCAGTCTGCTGACGGACTGCCACGGGTTCATTCATTGCATTGATTGTGAGGGGGGTGCGGGCCCGGGCAGTGTGCTGCTGTCACCGAGTCGCGATGCGTCAATGCACTGACTCCGTGGCACCGACCACCAACAGCACCACCACCAAGGTAGACGGTTCCCTGTGTCTAGCTTGCTCTCCCTGCCCTGTCCCTGTCCCTGTCCCAGACCCTGCCCATGGTCATGACATCTTTGGCATCCCAAGAGGACACATCTGTGCGTGGCTGTGTGCTGGCTTTGAAGCTCTTGCTGACCTTGTTGGTAAAAGGTTACAACTGCATCTCTCCCTGTTGATCGGGAAGGAGAGTGACAGACAGACACCACCATGCAATTGTCGTAATTACCGCTGAAGGCTGTTGGACGCGGAAAGGGGCAATCAGGGAGAAAAGTCTGTGAGTGTGCCAGAGCCGACAATGCAGGGGACGCACTCAGCTGCTGGCACTTTGCGCTCGGCTGGAGAGACCATCGGAGAGTTGCTCCCTGATGGGCACAGGCGCAGGCCCAGGGGCGGGTGTTACGTGCCCACTGCCAGGTTTCTGCCAGAGAAGACAGTCAGCTTGGAGATGCTGGGAGGTGGGCAGTCGAGGGCCGCCCACCAGATGGGAGAGGACGTCATGGTCACTTGGGACAATAGGAAGCGCCTTGCTAGCTCAGTGACGTGACCAGATCTGTCTTTCTTTGTCTCTTTTATTCAATATGTAGCGTTTGGAGAAAAGTGGACTCTCGAGAAAAAATGGCGTAGGTAAGTAGTGGCTCTGATTTATTTTATTTTTTTACTAAAATAGCCCCCTTGATCTTTTAAGTGTATCATGGCCACACTTCCGTAGCACTTTTACCAAGACTCAGTGCCGTACGGTGCTGAGGCCCCAGTAAACTCTTGTGAAAAGGCTTATTGACAGCTCATTCTTGTACCAGACTGCAATGGTCTGCATATACTAGAAGGGATTGTGCAGTCATCCATCGCCACAGTCCATTTTAGGACATCTTTGTCATTCACAGACCGTGGTTATTGGCTCCCACTTTCCTGCAAGAACCACTGTTCTCATTCTGGGTCCTGAGGCTTTGGGGATCAGCACCCCTCATCCCCGATGTGGCCCCTCTGTGTCTGCACGCAGAAAGGGCCCTGTTGACGCCTTGGGGAAGCTCTGGGCTGCTGACACAGAGGGTCGGCAGTTCGAATCCTGCAGGCAGTGGCTCCACAAAGATCTGACGCTTGGGGACAGTCTGAACCCCAGGGACAGCTCTCCCCTCTCCCGTGTTTGCCGCCTGAAGGCTTGCCCCGCAGCGGTTGCATCTTCCTGGTTTTCAAGGGCTGGCGCCAACGCCTTGTGCTGGTTGTTTTCCAGACCTGCACAGAGTCCTGTTCGTCGTCCAGAGTCAAGGCCACACCTTTCACGCGGCGCGCGCCCAGCGGCTGAAGGAGGACCTGCTCCAGCAGGCAGCAGAGCTCCGCCAGGTACCGAGGGGCTCTGGGGTCTGCGGCAACACGTCTGTCGTCACACACGCATGTTTCGGGACCCGCTCCTGGTCGTAGAGGGTACTTTTATTTAGATTAGGAGAACCTCTCCTCGTCCTTGTGCTTGTTCGTTAGAGATTCTTTAGCTGGGTGTCGGCACCCTCGTGGTGCAGTGGGTTATGCTTTGGGCTGCTACCCGCAGGGTCAGCAGTTTGAGCCCACCAGCTGCTCCAAGGAAGCAGATGGGGCTTTCAGCTCCTTTAAAGAGTGTTAGGCTGGTGGGGGTGGGGGTGGGGGTATGTTTTCTGTAGACGAAATCCAGGATAGGTAAATCTATAGAGACAGTAACTGGATTGATGGTTTCTTGGGGGTGTGGCAGGGGAGGTTGGGGGGAAATGGGGAGCTGATAAGAATAGAGAAGAAGAAAATGCTGAGGAATTGATTGTGGCGATGATGATTGTACAACTCTTCCTAAAATGGCAGAACTATTGAAATGCATGATAGGTGACTGATATCCCAATAAAACTGTTAAAAAAAAAAGTGACACTCTGAGAACCTACAGAAGCAGTTCTACCCAGACCTGTACCATTGCCATGAGTCAGAATCATCGCTTTGGCAGTGAGGGAGAGTGGTGCTCAGCTTGGGGCTGTTGGGTTAAGGTGGGGCTGCTAACTGCAAGGTAGGTAGTTCGAAGCCATCCGCTGCCCCTGGGGAGCCCGTCTACTTTCCTAAAGACTGCCAGCCCCTGCAGCCCTGTGAAGGGTCACTGTAAGACCGGATTGGATTGAGGGAAACGGGTTGGTTTCTGCTAGGAGTCCAAGGAGCCATGGTAGGGCCGTGGGCTACACACCCGGCTGATGACAGCTAAAAAGTAAAGATGGAAAAGAGAAAAGATTTGCAGCCTTGCAAGCCCTCGATGGGGTCGTTATGAGTCAGACTCAGTTTGCAGTGGGCTGGGTGGGGGTGGGGTATGCTAGCCACAAGGTTAGTGGTTCAAACCCCCGCAGCCACTCCGTGAGAGAAAGACGAGGCTGTCTGCTTCTGTGAACATTTACGGCCTCGGAAACCCGCAGGGGCAGTTGTGCCCTGTCCTGCAGGGTGGCTATGAGTCAGAAGTGACTCAACCATTTGGTTTGGGTTTTGGTATTTATTCCTTAAAATGCTCCAGCTGATTTCCAGCTGAGCTCCAATCCCCAGTGGAGCGCATCCTGACTCACAGTGACCCCGTGGGGCAGAGTGAACGGCCCCTGTGGTTCCCAAGCCTGCGGATCTTTGTAGGAGCAGAAAGCCTCACCTTTCTCCTGGGGAGCAGTGGGTGGGTTCAAACTACTGACCACCAGGCCCCCTTCCTCACGCATGAGGCATGACACTCTAAATAATACATACGTGTGCATTTAAGGATTCGTAAGATAAATATGTTAGGGTACCCTTCTTATAAAGGAGAAAAGAAAAAGGAAACTGGAGTTTCACCCCAAAAAGAAGAAGAGTGAAAAAAGACAGGATTCCTTCCTTGTGTGGAACTGATTTCCTCCCGAGGTGTGATCAAAAGCGTAGAAGAAAGACCTTCTTCACCGCGGGGGGCCTCACCAAGAGTGTGGATAATTAATGTTTCAGGATTTTGGTAACAAAGTTCCGGGTCAATTTCCATGTTGAAATAACATTCTCATTAACCTCCCCGCGGTGCTTCCTGGATGCGTGGCCCTTAATCTGCTCTTTAATTGGGCATCATTAATTGCGCTCCGGAGTTGATTTATAATGTAAGGCCCAAGGACGATGAAGGGGAGGGAGATGGGAGCTTGCAGGTTGGTCTTCCGAGACTTGACACAGGCCTGTAGGCTGCCTGAAGCGGCCGTGAGGCGTGGCGCAGGCTTGGGGTGCGAGCAGGAGCTCTGTCCTTGCCCTGCACGGAGGGGCCCGGGAAGGAGCCCTGGTGGCACCTTGGGTTAAGCATTGGGCTGTTAACCACAAGGTCAGCAGTTCCAAACCTCCAGCCGCTCTCTGGGGGAAGGATGGGGCTTTTCCCTGCTGTACAGATTTACAGTCTGGGGCAGTTCTGCTCTGTCCTATAGGGTCGCTGAGTCAGACTTGACTTGATGACAGGAGACTTGGTGTGTGCAGGTATTGTACCTGTGATGCGGCACATTCAGTACTGGGTTGCTAACCCACCAGCAGTTCAAGCCCACCAGCTACTCCAAGGGAGAAAGATGAGGCTGTTTACTCTCGTACAGAGTGACAATCTCAGAAACCCACAGGGATAGGTCTACCTGCCCTGTAGGGTCCCTGTGAGTTGGCATTGACTCAGTGGGTTTGGGTTTTTATAGGAATTGTACCTGTGTGGGGAGCCCTGCGGCGTAGTGGTTACACCCTGGGCTGCTAACCGCAAAGTCAGCGGTTTGAAACCACCAGCCGCTCTGAGGGAGAAAGATGAGCGCGTGTGGTACCTATATGGTGCAGTACATTTAGCCCTGGGTTGCTAACCCACCAGCAGTCCAAACCCACCAGCTGCTCCACGGGAAACAGATGAGACTGCTCCCACAAGGATTGACAGCCTCAGAAACCCACAGGGGCAGTGCCACCTTGTCCTGTGGGGTCACTGAGAGTTGGAGATCAACTCCAGGATGGTGGAAATGGGATGGGGCAGAACAAGGGATGGGCAAGGAGACAAAGCAGTGGCCTCACATGATGTCAGGGAGCCAGAGGGAATCAGTTTTAAGTAGTGACCCACATCAGTTCTGACCCTGGGACCCTGCAGGACAGGATAGAATTGCCCTTGGCTAGACCAGAGGATGTACACTTGTACAGGTGGGAGCTGAAAATCCAGGGAATCCAGGGCAGATGAGCCCTACGGGACCAGTGGTGTGAGTGGCGAAACAGGGAGGGTAAAGGGAGAATGGGTAGGAAGGAGGGAACCGATTACAGGGAACTATATGTGACTTCCTCCCTGGGGGACAGACAACCGAAAAGTGGGTG